CTTCTTGATGTACACGTCCTATGGATAAGGGAAGAGGAGGGCACGCGTCAAGAAGACATGAACACTCAACAAGACGTGTATAGAGAGGATTAGGATGGATCTTGCACAGTCATGCGACCTTTTTTTTTTTCTTTTTTTTTGAAGGCGAAAGAAAGTCTTAGACTCTGAGATAATTAATTGCGACTATTTCAGGAAGGAAGGCTCGGTTTCTAAGGGAATGCCAGCCGGTATGTCATTTAGAAGTTAAGTCTTGACCCTTGAATAACATCATAGTCACGGTGACATAGGCGAACTCCCACTTCCACACAGATAAGGTATAGGTGCTTAGCACACACATAGCCTACATAGGCAAACTTAGCACACACATAGCACACACTGGCAAACTCCGACTTGCACAGAGATCAAGTAAAGGTGATTAGCACACACATAGCCTACATAGGCAAACTTAGCACACACATAGCACACACTGGCAAACTCCGACTTGCACAGAGATCAAGTAAAGGTAATTAGCCCACACATAGCACACACAGGCAAGCTCCCACTTGCACACAGATCAAGTATAGGTTCTTAGCACACACATAGCACACATACGGAAGCTCCCACCTGCACACAGATCAAGTATAGGTTCTTAGCACACACATAGCACACATAGGGAAGCTCCCACCTGCACACAGATCAAGTACAACTATACTAACTGTTGATTGTGGTTTTCTACTACGTCTCTACAATACACCCTGGCTGTTACTTGAGAAACAGGATAGTTCGACAACATTTTCATTGCAAATCCTAATTGCCTGTTACAAAAAAAGTGACCTCTTTATTGCATTGGGATTTGTCAGAATCCCCATCTGCACTTGGTTGGAAGACAACCCGTGTCTAAAAAACGTGACCTTTTATTGCATTAAGATTCATCTGAAGCCTTACAGAACCCATCGGTAGACCACGCCTGTCTCTCACCTTCCTGTTCGGACTCTCTCTCTCTCTATCTCTCTCTCTCGCACGTGCTTTTTTTTTTTTTTTTGCTTTTTTGCTTTCTTTTCTTTTTCATCACGCTCCCAGTTTTGTCGCGCTCCCACTTTCCGATTTTTTTTTTTCCATTTGATCAGTTCACGTGCAGGCAGCCACACACATACAT